GCTGCAACCAGAGCAAATCGTCCTAATTAGTTTGCCAGGTTACCTGTTATTTGGACGTATTTCTGCCGATTGGAACTAAGTGAATTATGACGTGAGCCCTGTTATGCATATATTCTTATGGGTCTCAGGGATCATGTCTTAACGCACATAGTTCCGTTTGGCAGAAATACGTCCATTTTTGGATGTCAGGTGACTGAAGAGATTTCTCATTATGGTCGAGAGACAAAATGCGTATTGAAGAATGATTATTTCTGATAATAATTTGACAAATCCAAATGGTTTGTCAAACTGGCCAATCAAATTATGCCTTGTCAGCTGCCCTTTAAATAAATATTTATGTAGATTTAAAGTTTTTTTTTTGTATAAGGGCCGTTTGTAAGTTCTCTTTTCAACTTCTGGTTACCAAACCAGTGGTCAGACTCTGACCAGCAGTCAATCTGCTAATCAGCCTAACTACCGGTTGGCGAGAGAGAACAAAGGCTGATCGGGACTTGACCTGAAGAAAACCGAGAGTCATACACAGCTACCTTTGGTCAAGCTCTGGTCAGCTCCACTTTGACAAGCACCTGACCAGAGGCCTTACAATCGGCTCTAAGAGGGATTGAACTGCCGGAAAATTAGTCACCTCAAAAGTACCTCCTTCCTCAAAAGGTAAGTTTCCAAAAGCGCAAACGTCCAAAAGCGCAAACCCCAAAAGCGCAAATCTGCATTTTGCGCTTTTGGGGTGGTGGAAGAAGGGACTCCTTTGCGCAAATGGGTACGCTAAATTATGAAAAAAGGTTAATACTTTAAGTTTAGAAATGTGATTGCAGTATGGCAACATGGTGTGGAGCGTCAGTGTTCCTCATACCCAAAATCAAAACTTTATATAAACTTTGACGGAGGGAAAATTCAATCCCCGAAAAATTTTATTGGACTTTGAATCTAGCGCGCACATAGCTTTTAAGAGCGTGTTTCCAAGATGTTTTATGGATTGCCTTTTTTACCACCCGAATGAGTTCTTGATGGATACGTGATACTAAATAGCTGTTGTCCAAGTGATCCTCGAGCACTAGCTTTTAGTAAGTACATTTTGGACAACTACATTTTACTATGCTCCTTTCCCCCCGAAATGTGGGCTGCGGCGTCTACATCAATGGATCCAAAGACGACAAATGGAGCCGAGTGGTTCAATGGCAATTTCAGAAAAATTGTTTCGAGTGCCCATCCGAATATTCATATATTTTCCGAAGAACTAAATTCAATCAGAGCATGAACTCAAAGGGTTTATTACTACAGAAATGATGAAGACATATTTAAAAAAAGCGGGTTGCCACCCGCTGAAGCTGTCTCCACTTGAATTTACAGGTAACACGTTGCCACATTTTTTATCCTGAAATTTTGTTCACCTTATGCTCAATACAGGTAATTGCGCTTTTGGGGTGAGTCTCGGCGCTTCCTATTTGCGCTTTTGGACTACACATTTGCCCTTTTCGGGTTTGCGCTTTTGGCCATTTGCGCTTTTGGGTAGTGTCCCCTCAAAAGTACAAGTTCAATGCCTACTAAGCTGAATCAGGTTTTCTTTCTTGAATCCTTCATGTCATTATGCACCATTTGGATTCTGATTCATTTAAGCGGCAACACGGCTTGCCTAACATCCATTCTAGGTGGGGGAGACTGAACATGTTTTTGTCGGCAAATGTAGTTCATACTTTACATCCCAATAGATCACACACCTGTAACATGCCAGGCCAATCCTGATAGCGGGACAACAACAGTTGACACTATGCTCGCGACGCCGCGCCGGCCGCACACCGACGGAACTGTATTATTGCGGGGTGGTGATTCCAACAAGTTGGCAACACTGTTAATACTCCATTTAAATACATTGAATAAATCGATTTTAGCTGAGACTGGTAGCCTCACCTAGAAACGATTGTTTAACATACATTTAAATGAAAAAATATCGGTATTGCCAACTTCCAAGAATTGCCAATGTTATGGCGTAAGCATAGCGACGGTTTGCTCCCGCTTGACAGGATGCTCAGCTTCTTTAAGCTTTTAGTTCATCGGAAAATAAATAAAATGAAGAACGACCGATCACTGAAATTGCTACTTCATTGCAGTAAAACAAAGAGTAACAGACGTTTGTAGGCAGAAAGCGTGCATTTTAATTTAGTGGTTTGTCTATACTGATCAAAAAGCATAATTAAATATTTAATTGTTTTTCTTTGCGAAATGGTCAAGCCTGGGACACTGAGAACACTTTTCCAGCTCCTCACTTTTGTTGCAAACATAGAATCATGCAGTATCGCTTACTGTTGTGTCATATGGTGTGTTCAGGTGAAGAAGAGCGCACATATGCGGGCAGCTACCATTCAACAATTTTTACCGAGGTCTTGGATGATAATGTTTATGTAATGTCCTTGTCTAAATTTTGATAACGATGAACCTGCACCTGCTGAAGAGTGAAAGTTCTCTTTTCCATCTCTTTGAGCAGTATTCGTGAAATATAGGAGATAACAGTGGTTTTAACAAAGTTTTGTTTCGTTTAATTTTTAATTAATTCATTCCTTGTTCCAGAGTTCCATTTCAACTTTTTTCAATGAAACGGGTGCCTAAAACAATGATAGGCTCGTTTTTCTACGTTCCAGGTCGAGGAAATACCATGCGTTTTTTTCACACATCAAAAGTGCATGGATCTTTAATGAGAGTGCGTAAATATCGGGGCACCGAACACATGTTGCTAAAATACTGGTTTAACTTAAAATTTTTGGCAAAAATCGGAGCATGGCGCCTCGAAGCAGATTTCACCTATATATGTTCCCAAAAAATAAGTTAGTGTAAATAAACCAAAATTAAAAACTGAAGTATAAGAACGCGAAGATTAACGGTTCGATTCAACTAATCGAATGCAATATTTCAAGTTCGTATACTTTCTGCGTTATTTTAGTGCTTACGGGATAGATTTTTTGGGAAGAAACCGCTGATTTGTGGGCGAGGCTCCGTTTTATGCCAACAATTTAAAGCTGAAACTAGTAATTTAACTAAGTTTGTTCGATACCTCGATATTTGTTTACTTTTGGCTTGGCGTGGGGCCCACGCTGCGGGCTCCATGGGCTCATCTTAAGCCGTGGTCACATAAAAACCACCTAGACAGGCAATACCTAAAGATTGCCGAATTCTTGCGAGAGTGTATTAGTATTATTGCTGCATTGTGTTAGTTGTTTACACAGATCGCAAATGGGAATTTGCGAAAAAGAGACATTTCGGAATGAAAAAATTGAATTCTTGAAATTTTAATTTTAGGGTCAAAAGTAGCTTTTTTCAGGTCTTTTCGACCACTTATTTTATAGCCTCATAATCAATATTTAGGTATTCTTCGTCTAGGAGGTATTGGTCACAACATTTAAGTACCTTACGGTGGTTGTTTTGATTGGAGAAAGTAAAAAGGGGGGGGGGAAACAAAAATCCAGAGAGAATTCGATCTCATAAAAACATAAAAAGGAACGCGGAGATAATGCAGGAAACGTGTTTAAAACGGGCTGTACAAATCTGCACAGTGGTAGATATTTGTCGAGGAATGAGCGAGGCGCTGCGTTCGTAAAGGAGAGGAACGGCGGAACCGGCCCGCGCCCGACCCGAAAACGCCATGCTTCGGCCGAGCGCGGAATCTCGTTCCTGCTACCTCTCTACTTCTCTACCTCTCTACATCTCTGTCTACTCCGGTCCGAGCTGAGCCCGGCTAAAAAAAAAGGAGAGAAAAAAAAGGAGTGCGACGCCGGTGGCGCGGCGGCGCAGCGAAAACATGCCTCTGCTATTGAGCTGACAATGGACGACTCGGAACATGTTTTTTTCCTGTGACATCAACATCGGAATGTTTTCAATAGGCCTCAAAAAAATGATAACATCGAAGATTCTTGGTTTGTCAGGTAAAATTCTGATGTAGAACTTTGGAATTAGGCGAGAGTGCGGAAAGATTACTTAAGAGTCGAAATGCCTCCAGTGTTGACCGGAGTTGCTCATGGAGGGAGCAAATTGCTCTCTGCTTCATGCTGGAGCGGGCTCGGCTCACATTTGAGCACATAAAAAACAAATTGTCTTTCAAACTGGGGGTTGATGAATGCCAGGATACAATTAAAGCTTCTAATTTTGTTAGAAATTCTCTCGAAACTTGTTTTCAGGCAATTCAGGACTACGCTCTTGCTTAGAACAAGCAACATTCTTGTCTCCTCCTGGACATGAGTTCGGTCAGAATATGAGAGAATGAAACGCTCTTCATCTCCCTCCGGAGGTAGAGTTTTTGGGTCTATGTTATCCCATTAGGACGGGTTGAAAACCTGCTCATACCAATGCAAGATAACATATTACTTGAGTAAATCGTTTGAAATGAGATAGGCTTTTGGTAAAGCGATAGAATATGTGCTCATTGTAAAAAAAAACTTTCATGAAAAGTTTTAATTTTTTTTGAGGAGATTGACTATCAAAAAGACACGGGATCGGTAGTGTCGAATAAGTATTCTCATTTGTGCTCATCTTTCCGTCAAAAAGTGCACCTTCTTCCAATAGTAGGTACCCCTTTATTGCATTATTAATGTTTGGATGTAGGTCGATGGCTATACTACAATCGCCTATCCAATAAGGGTGACATTTCCAACCTTTTTCATTCCTCCTCCCCATCTTAAGAATGAAAAGTATAAGGATGGAGAAGAGTATCTATGAGTTAGCATGATATCTCATACCCTAAGATAAATTTTTTGGGATCTTCTGTGCTCCAAGCAGTGGGGCTCTTCGGTTTCCACCGTAAAGGATCTCTATCATAGATCTGCCCGGTAATGGTTGCCGAAAAGGTTGCAGAAACGTTACGGAAACGTTCAGTGACGTTGCTTTTGGCCACCAGTATAAGTAAGACTGTGACAACTTATGTTTTCAACGTTTCCTCAACCTGCCGACGATCGTTGCCGGGCGTAAAAGAGGGATTTTATTTGGATTTTAACTATTCAGTATTGAACGGGACTCACCTGTATTTCTGTGATGAGAGTTAGTTTAATCCCTTAGAAACGAAAACACACACACATTGTCAAAAGCACACTCGATTTCGGGAGTCAGTAACGCATAGGGGACCGGTCAGAAGCACTTGTCGGGGCACACACACAACGCACAGGGGGAATGACCGGCGCGGCGAGCGGGGGAAGGAGTTAGGACGCGGCGGGCCGACGCACTCCACGGATGGTGACTCAAGACTGGTACCTGGCGAGGAAATGGAATGCCAAGAAACTAGGCTCCCCGCGAGAGAGCGTGCAAAGCTGAGGATCCTACCTGCGGGACCTGCGGGACCTGCGGCCTGCGGATCTACCTGTCCTCAGCCGTGCGCCTGTGGTTGCCGCGGTTCCTCCGCCACGCCGCACAGTGGATCGAGTCAATCAAAGAGGTCGGTCATGAAATTTTTTACTAAAACTGCGAATTTTCATGTTTATTTCGTTCTATTTTACATTTTTAGGGGTGGTTCTAGAAGAAAATTTCACTAGAAAACTAATGAAACCACTCTTAGAACCTCAAAATTTTGTATAGACGGAGTTATGAGTGGTTAAAGTTTCCAAGTTTTGTCCGATCTATCCTATTGACTCGATCCAGTGTGCGCCATCCAGCTTGGACCTCTTGGTCCGATCGGCGCGCCTGCTCCCTGCTCGCTTCTTTCTCCTCTCCTTCATTCCATTGGGAGATGCTGCCACGTTGCCCCCTTTTTTCCGCTTCGTAGACTCACTCTGTCTTTCTTCCGTTTTAATTCCTCATCGGGATAGGCGAATTTCCGCCTCTGGTTTTCATTCACTTTATAGACCAAATCCTTGAACCGAACATTTTCCCCCGACCCTATCCACAGTGTCCAAACCAAATAAAAAATCTCTGTTGAGCAGGTCGCTGCAATCTGTCGTTGAGCGGTGATGTGACTTAATGGCTATTGATAGGAGATGGTCTAACTCGCGGGAGTCGCGGAGGCCCACGAAGCACCATCTTGGGGTTTGGCACGTAGCGGCCAGCGGGTCGATAATTGAAATTTATAGACAAAGATGACAAAAGGGATATGGACGGAACCTATTGGTGGTTGCAATGGAAAAATGCAGTAGGCAACAGACTAATTAATGGCAACCTACGAGAAACCCGAATATTAGTCCATCATTTTCTTCCCTAGTCTATTAGAACCACACATTTCAACCGATCGGATCGCTCCATACTCTCAATGACTTCTTTGCCTATAGCTTTGTCTAGCAATTTCAATAATCAGCCCGCAGGGGGTGTCTGCACCTCCTACTTCATAACAGCTAATAAAAATTTTGTATCGAGGCTCCGTTTGTCATTTTCAGTATCGAGTTCTCGCTAAGTAAGTTCACGCACTTCCAGATTGCGACGGAGGATCGAATTGTATGACGTCACTTTTACTTGTAAGGTAAATGGAAGAGGCAAGATGGCGGATCTTCTGTCGCAGTCTAAAAGTTCGTAAACTTATTTGGCGTGGACTGTAACTCGTGGGCTTCAATTGGGATCCCTCCGTCACTAAATAAGACGTTCTTTTCGAAATTCGGCACCTCGGTCGAAGGATTCTCCTCGTGCCCTCATCCTACATCGAGTTCTATCTTCAATTTTGCCGGGCGAGCGCCAGTCAGGAGTCGGCGCTGGTTGCATCGTATCTGCTGCCGCCGCCGACCATCGACTATGCACCATTCATCGGACGATGGAGGGCAGAAATGCAGCATCGGTGCGGTGCTTCTATCGTTCGGAATTCAGCTGCGTCACGCTATAGATCGATGTGAGGTCTTTGCCTTTAAAACACCCTCTCCGGTCTAATAACCAAGTTTCAGAGCCCCTTGCGTTTTAACAATGAAATCCAATGTTTAAAGGAGAGCATCCTACGATTAGGATGTGTAGCGAAAGGGATAAGGGAATACAGTGTGGTCGATGCCTTTACGATTTTTATATCAATTAATTTGAAAAGTTTTACATTTAAGAACTACCGTTCTTGGTTTATCTGTAGAAGCTTATATGCGCACAGGAAAACTAGATGCGGATAAAAATTGAGCAAAAAATTATAGAGCCCCAATGAAAGAATTCGTCCAATTGAGCATACATGAAAGGTAAAACAATTTTCTATATGATCTACATTTTGCACGCGCATGCTTTCTAAAATAAGTGAGAATAAAAGTAGTTCCCTATTGCAAAATGTAATGTTTGTAAAAAGGCCTGAAAATGATCTGTTTTGTTTATCAATTGTACAAACTTTTGCTCCAGCTAAGAGTACCCCAGGGTAGGCAAGAGTTTATTACTCCTGGATGGTTCATGCATTTGCACTGAGAAAAAAAAAAAAAAAAAAAAAAAAAAAAAAAAAAAAAAAAAAAAAAAACACATTGGATCAATCTAGAGTCCAGACTCTTGAAAATATTGACAAGAAAAAATACTATTGATTCAATCAGATTAAAGCTTAAGTCAAAAGGAAATCCGCTCAAATTAAGAGGCTTGGTTCTTGATTTAAGCTAAAATCCGATTGAATCAAGAGTATTTTTTCTTGTCGATGTTTTTAAGAGTCTGGACTCTAGATACAATGTGTTTTTTTCCAGTGTATGCCAATGAAGTTTCATCGACAGAAATGGTTGAAATTTGCAGCAATTATTATATAATGGTATAATGATAGGGTGATTTTCTGATAGGGTCATTTTCTGATAGGGTGATTAGGATGATTTTCTTCACCATTGATTTCATGGTGGTTCTTTTGATCACAGTGGATTTTACCATAGCTTCCATCTATTTGGATCAGTTTAAGAGTAGCTTTGTGGCTTAAATTGGACCGTTGTTAACCCAAAGAGAGACGATACGAAGGGAATTGGTAGATATGTTTAGGCTAAGAAATTACGCCTATTCCTCATTATATACCTGACCCAGAAGTCTATTGTCCATTCATATGACCCGCGAGTGTCCAAGAGCTGAGACTGATCAAGGACGGTGTCGAAGGGTCTCGGCAACATAGGCTCCGGGGAGGCTTTACGTGTCTCATAAATTATAGGAAACCTCTATTTATTTCCAGCTCTCTCAATATTGGAGGGGTATCAGGGGGGCGGGGGAGAAAACGAGTGGAATGAAAAATGCAGCTCATTGATCGATGAATCTCCTCTGCAGGGTTGTCAGATTTCAGAGTATCAAATGTTAAGTGTCTGGACATGATCCATTTAAAAACCCGGAAGGAGCAAACCAAAACTTTTAAGAATTTGGTTTGTTACGAGAAGGAGGATATTGTTATTATGAGGAACTTCATTTATCTGCGACGAAAACTTGTAACTTCGTTCAGTTTTTGGATCCCAACCATAGTAAAAGTGAATCAGCCTGACGTCAGGCTATGTTTCATAAACTACTCTGAGTCAGACTGATTCTTGCTGATGTTAGACTGATTTAAGCCTGTATCAGTCAGGCCCGCCACAAAAGGTTGGGGGATACTGGGTCCCTGGTACCGGGGCCCGTGTTACCCATGAAATACCACTACGAATTCACATGCAACCCTTGTTTCGTAAGAAAAAGTGAAAAATTTACCCTTAAAATTTCGCAAAAGGTGAATAGATTTTCAGAAATACGCTGTGGCACTGAAGAATTCTTCTTAAATTTCCAAAGAAGTATAATTCCTGGAAAATTTCTATCTATTTTCAAGATTTTTAGTACAGATGGATATATTTAGTACTGCGTTTCATTTTCTTCCGTCGTCAGATGCTAAGAGTCTCCAGTCTGGGCATCCTCCACTTCAATGGCTCAAGACTCAACTCCTTTGCCATAGACAAACTAAGGGGGAGTCCAGGGGGGCCTGGCCCTCTTAGAAGTGAAAATAGTATCATATGCCCCCCCCCCCCAAAAAAAAAGAAAAAATAAAAATGTTCCGGATGTTTTAAATGCAACAATTCACAAGTATTTTGTGCTGAAAGTAGAAAAAAAAAATAATTATTCCGCAGAAATTGATGGAAAAATTCTTTATGGAAGCTTCAAAATGCGTCCGATTAGTCGTATAAATTCTAAAATTTCTCGGGGGATGCCCCTCGGACTCCCCCCCCCCTCCGTGCTTGGGGCCCGGACCTTAAAACTGGTACCTGGGCCCGAGATGGGATATGGCGAGCCTGCATGAAGGCTATTTCCATTTAAATCTTCGGTCACATTCTTACGGCGCAATGATACAACTCTTTGAACTTTCCGGAATGCGTGAGGTATCACGCCGTATTTGAAGGCGTTTTCAAAACAGCCAAGTTCCGATACCCGGATTATCGTTTTGCATAGTTCATATTATTTTGTTTCCATTTCTAACCACTTGTTTAATTATAATCCTCCTATAAAAACCACCCATTTGCTAAATACAATTCTAGCTGAAGCGCACTTTAGCGCATTCATGACTGCAAAAATGTTAACGGAAATCGAAAAGGCTAGCGTGCATGAAGGCTATTTCAATTTAAATCGTCCGTCGCATTTCTAAGGTACAATGATACAACTATTTGAACTCTCCGGAATGCGTGAGGTATCCCGCCGCATTTGAAGGCGATTTCAAAACAGCCAAGTTCCGATACCCGGATTATCGTTTTGCATAGTTCATATTCTTTGGTTTCCATTTCTAACCACTCGTTTAATTATAATCCTCCTATAAAAACCACCCATTTGGAACTACAATTCTAGCTGAAGTGCACTTCAGCTATGCATTCACCACTGCAAAAATTTCAGAGGAAATCGACAAGCCCAGCGTGCATGGAGGCTATCTTTATTTAAATCTTCCGTCACATTCTTACGGCGCAATGATACAACTATTTGAACTCTCCGGAATGCGTGAGTTATCACGCCGCATTTGAAGGCGTTTTCAAAACAGCCAAGTTCCGATACCCGGATTATCGTTTTGTATAGCTCATATTCTTTGGTTATATTCCCTACCACTCGTTTATTTTTAATCCTCGTAGAAAAACCACCCATTTGCTAAATACAATTCTAGCTGAAGCGTACTTCAGCTATGCATTCACCACTGCAAAAATGTCAAAGGAAATCGACACGCCCAGCGTGCATGGAGGCTATCTATATGTATTTAAATCTTCCGTCACATTCTTACGGCGCAATGATACAACTATTTGAACTCTCCGGAATGCGTGAGGTATCACGCCGTATTTGAAGGCGTTTTCAAAACAGCCAAGTTCCGTTATCGGAATAATCGTTTTGCATAGTTCA